TAGCAGTGTGGTTCTGTTAGCAGCACGGTACTGTTAGCAGTGTGGTTCTGTTAGCAGCACGGTACTGTTAGCAGCACGGTACTGTTAGCAGCGCGGTACTGTTAGCAGTGTGGTTCTGTTAGCAGTGTGGTTCTGTTAGCAGTGTGGTTCTGTTAGCAGCCCGGTACTGTTAGCAGTGTGGTTCTGTTAGTAGCGCGTTACTGTTAGCAGTGTGGTTCTGTTAGCAGCACGATACTGTTAGCAGTGTGGTTCTGTTAGCACCGTGGTCTTGTTAGCAGTGTGGTTCTGTTAGCAGCACGGTACTGTTAGCAGTGTGGTTCTGTTAGTAGTGCGTTACTGTTAGCAGTGTGGTTCTGTTAGCAGCACGGTACTGTTAGCAGTGTGGTTCTGTTAGCACTGTGGTCCTGTTAGCAGTGTGGTTCTGTTAGCACTGTGGTCTTGTTAGCAGTGTGGTTCTGTTAGCACCGTGGTCTTGTTAGCAGTGTGGTTCTGTTAGCACCGTGGTCTTGTTAGCAGCACGGTCCCATTAGCAGCATGATGATAATAACGACCATGGTAACGAACGATGACTGCCTTCTAGAACCGGGTCCAGCAGACATTGAACATCCAAGGTTTCCCCGCGGAACTGTAACTGTTTTGTAGAATTCGGTCCGGGCAGGCAGATGGAGGATCATGGAGATGGCCGCCATGACAAGCTGGAGCCTGAGCCCGAGGCTGGAAGAGATCCGGGAACTGAACCACGATGGCAAGGCAGCAACACGCAAAACTCTAAAAGTGTGTCACAGTCGTACCCGTAGCGTAGGTGTACAGTGTAGGCACAAAAAAGTTAAAACAAAAACAACAGAAACAAAAAAAGAGCGAGTTGAAGTGGAGCCACCATCAGTGCTTCCATATTGTGGCGTTCGTGAGGCCACTGTGACGTTTACACATGCATTGCACAAAATCACCAGTTCTGGGTCATCTTGGAACAGCCACGTAGACTCAGCAAAATAGCCCAAGGCGTTGGTCAACAAATATCTTTCTTCAAAGCTTGGCCAGACCTCCCAGAAGGAGTCGCTACCATCATCAAATGGGAAGCACTATTGTACTTCATGTGACCAGCTCTCAACCAATGAAACCTCACCATCTTGTGTTTCAAAATGGTGGCTGCGACATGTTGGAATTTGTAGGCACGTAAGTGGAACTACATTTTCTACCAGAAACAAAACCAGAAATAAGATCAGTCTTGTTTTAACACTTATCATACTATACAAAACAAAAAGAAATACATATAACCATATACATAAATATAACGCATTTCAGCGAGCTAATATATCATTCTGATAAAAATATGCTTCAGCTTGTCACACCTAATGCCAGAGTCTTAAACAAAGGTAATTGTATGTCAAGAAATGATGTGCACAATATCATAAAATGGAGTATGTGTGATGAATGACTCTCAGTTACTACCGCACCAAGGCTTATCTCAATATCTGTACAATTCACCAAGTTAGACATTTGTGTTTCCTGAGGTCACGTTGCTATAGCAGCCATCCTGATTTAGATTAACTTTACCAGTTGCAGATTTACATGCTTTGATTACTTTCCACTAGTTTTATTAAAGTCCTTCTAGAGGTTCATGAAATATTTTGTTAACAGACAGACACAAGCAAAAACATTATTATCCACCCAAGACGAGATAAGCAACCATTAAACCCCAGCTGTGATTTGAGATAATGATAAATGAGTAAAATAGGCCTTCGAAGGTCCTGGGTTCGATCCCCGGTCATCTCATGGTGTCTCTGAGCAGGACACCTTATCCCCAGTTGCTCCCAGCTTTCAATAGCTGCTCACTGCTCCACCTGGTGGTGGATGGGTTAAAAGCAGAAAGCCAATTTCGCCATTGTATGGGAACTTACAATAATGACAATACATAACACATTATTATTATAGGTGATTTATCTACATAATTTTTCACCCTCCGGGCCTACTGGTACATTAAGGCAGATTTGGGGGAGGGCTCCTTTACAAAGGTTTGCCTTGGACCCCAAAATGGCTAAGTCTGCCACTGCATTGGATGTACATTTACAACTGATTAAATGTGAAAGTCAACCCATTCAAGATGGCTGCTGCAGCTATTGCTCCTTAGCCGACTGGATTTACAGTTTTACCGATACTGAGTTGAAATTTGATGTGAAAGTAGAGAAAAGGCATCATGGTCTAAACTTTAAATGCTAACGATACACATTCCTTTGAAGAACGCTACTTTCATTTTAAATGTTCTTTTGGGACATTTTGTCTCCGTTTGAAATCTGGCTGTGGAGGTAAACTGGGGAGAAAAGACGCAGATGCCACGCTTACAGAACTACTGGAATGGTTTAATCACATCTCATTCCCACCTGCTGACACTGGTACCATTAGGTCTTACAACTGGTTAAATTATCATTGATCTTAAGCACATCTGAAGCATACATTTAAGTCCTCCTGCTCTCTATTTATACCTGGGGGGTGGTCCATCACTCCCATTTTCTCTCATCTCAAACTCTATGTCATGCTTTGTCTACCTTTTCCATGTGTCTATTTCACACTAATTCAACCCAGAAATGATTCTCAGAAGGAGCTCAGCTGGGACCTCACAGTCGTTATCTGACAGATGAGAGAAGGCGAGACAGAGGAAGGAAAGATGGATAGAAGAGGAGGAGGAGGAAACAGAGAACACGAGGAAGGAGATTTGATATGCTGAAATCCAAGCAGGCAATCTGATTACAGTTATAGGACTTGATGACCATCTTCAATGATGGTCAAGCAAAAGAACCGAGATAGGAACAGCAAATGTATCTGTACATTTCTGAGCACACAGGTAACCATGATATTGTCCCGTTTTGGATCAACGCCCAGATCAGGCTTTACTTCCTTGTGTTGTCCTATAAAGGATTCTGCAAGTGGGGCAGACCTAACTAATCCATCAACGATTGAGCGCTCTGGCATCAATTATTAACAGTAAGCTGAGGCCAGTATCCATGTGTGGCTAATTTCTTCCCTCTCACAGTGTTTTATCTGCAACAACTGCATTTTATTTTACGTTTTACACTTGTTCATTTGCCTACTATCCATCCTTGCATGCATACAGAATGCTTGTTTGCATATTGGTCAATAAAAAGTTTATTTCTTGGGACTATTAGATTTAAATTCAAAGCAGTCTGAACCATTTAGTACAATAGAAGGACAGTGATGAAAGAGGCGGCTCCAAATGGCGTTCTGAGACACACAGCAGACAAAGAAGAGCAACTTCATGCTGATAGAAAAACTGTGGGCTTTGTTTTAGCTTTTTATTGAAGCATTAACAAAGGTGATAACTTACTGTATGATTCAAGACTTTTGAAATGATGATGAGCCCACTTAATTAACTCGATCAGTTTTACATATATTAACCTAAAGTCTGGTGTGGTCGCTGAGACTGATGCCCTACCCATGCTATAAGTGCTAACAGATCACACAAGATCTTTGTTTAAAATGTTGCCTCTAATGGCTGTTAGCAAAATATCCCATGAAGCAGCAGTCAGATTTTAATGAAACTTTCAGAAAGTTGCCATCTTAAAATTTTGCTAATATTTGTAACATGACCAACAAAGTGCAGGAAGGTACAGCAACAAGTTATGTCTCTTTATATCGTGCATGTAATTCCTGCTGAATCAACAATGCAACAAACAATAATTTTAGAAATATATGTGACTAAATACCATTTTCTGTGTGATCCCCCCCCCCCCCCCCCCAGCAGTACACAAATGTTGACGGTGTCCAAGGTTAGCGGGTTAGATTAGTAGGTTAGAGTTGGACTCAGTGGGGCAGAAGTTTTGGCTGCAGGTAAGAGGCAGCTTGAGTTTCTGAAAGCAGACTCCCGCCCTCGTCCTCCAAGAACAGGGGCCAGCTTCATCAATAATTCATCACACCTCACCACTCGCCTCAGCAGGATGGCTGTGAGTGGGCGAGCATTGCAGGAAAGGATAAAGCTTTTGTGTGTGCAGTGAAAGTGTAGAAAGAGAGAGGGGAAAAAAAAAGAAAATGGAGTGAAGCATGCTGCAAATGTTTATGCGTAAAGTTGAATTTACATGCATCAACACAGAGACCATGGTAATCCAGATTTATGATGTGCGTTTTATGCTCAACTTAATGTCCTTCGCTCTTCACCCAGTCAATGGTGCTCGCAGTAGTTTGGTGTCTGTATCCAGTGCCCATTGCTAACCAGGAACAATGAAGAAAGATTCAGTTACGTTGTCCTGCGTTGAAGTAATCCAACCCTACAGACAAGACTCTGCAGCCTGCTGATGGCTGGCATGACCTATATGCTAACAAGCCCCGTTGGTGTTTCTAATCTCACTCTAAATTCATTTACAAATCAGACCAATGGACTCTTTAGTGATTGAAACTCAAGCCCCTCTACAGCATCTCAGGTTAGATGATGCATCACACAAGAAAAACGGTTCCAGTTTTCACACTGATCAAATAAATTCAAGCTTTCTCTCTTATTCAACACAGTAAAATAAGTTATCAGGCTACTCTCTTGTGGAGCTAACTTTCAGTTTCTGTCTGTGGAGCTGATGTTCTACTTTTAAGACCAGGTTTAAGACTCTCCTTTTTGATAAATCCTATAGTTAGGGTTAGCTTAGGTTTCTTGAACTATCTTTTAGTTCTGTTGCTATAGGCTTAAACTGCTGGAGGACAAACTACATTTTCTCACTCTGCTGTTGTCTTTCCTGGCTCCACTCGTCACGATTGTGCATGCAATTATTACTGTCCTTAATCCGTGTTTTTTCTGTGTTTATCTTTCCATAAAAACTACATCTGAAACAATATTTCTGCATTTGGGTGTCACCTTCCTGTTTTTTTCAAACCCTAGCCCTTCAAGGAAGATGGCCACCCATCCTGGTTCTAGAGGGTTCCTCCTGTTAAAAGGAAGTTGTTTCTTTCCACTGTCGTCAACGTGATGCTCAGGATGGAGGACTGCAACAAAGTGAACATTTGATCTAATCTGGTAGCTTCCTTAGATATTTTTTTTACAAATTGACTTTTATAATGTTCTTTATGTTAATGTACGCATATAGAAATGAATGGACTGTAAGTGCTTTTAATCTGGATCTGCATTGGATTCATGAGTTGGACTTGTTTTTTGTTTGTTTTGTTTTGTTTTACATCGTGCCCTAAGATGACTTTTTTTGAGAACTGAACAAACATAACAGATATAAATTCAAGTTAAAGCTCAGCCTATGTCAGCAGAATGTGACGACCATCAGTGGCCCTAAAGGCCAACATTTTATATATATTTCAGGAAACTAGTGAGTTGGCATGTGAGTATTTTGTATAAAATCAGATTTGTGGGTGCACAATAAATCACTGACGTGAGTCTTCTTACCTTGTTTAATAGAAACATATCTGCCATTAGCTGCTATCAGAACCACTTGTGGATGGCTCTCTTCCAAGTCAAACAGTTCATCTTTGCCTGGCTTGGAGCAACGTCCTGACCTCAGGGTGCCCGTAGGCCCCATGGGAGATAAATATCTACCCTCACAATCTTTAAAGGCTAGCTTTCCGCACTTCAGCTCTAATGTGTATGCCGTGCCTCGCCCACTCTCTTTCACTAGCTTTCCATCACTGCTGAGAAACCGGCTGTCACAAGTTTTTAGGCAGTACTTCCCATCCAGGTAGACGAGGGTCAGGAGCGCTTCCACACCCCAAGGTATGTTCACATCTACTGCGATTTCCCCGTCCTCCATAGCGAGGTGGGCATAGCGCTTACGGGCGACTGACAGAAGGTTGGCCTGAGGATGGAGAGCCAGGTGCACTGCCCACAGCTCGGCATCTGTGATTGTCTGAGCGAAGCAGGACAGGTAGTCCCGTGAGCCGCCGAAGAAGCGTAGGTATTGCTCAGACTGAAAAGCCCAGCGGCCGTTCGACTGAGCCACTATGAGGAAGCGGCAGTCTGAATTGTGGCCATCTGCCTCACAGGTGACTTTGCCATCCTTGTCAGAAGCCAAGTAGCGTCCCAGGTGGCTGCGTAAATACACCACTTGGGAGTCCTGAGTGTCATGCTCTAGAGTCCATATCTGCTTCTTTTTCAGGCTGGGAGCCGATGCATTCAACTGGGAAACAAGAAAGGTGTTACTCTAACAATTCTTGCACAGTCTGGAACAAGCCAGCATCATCTTCTAATTCTCTGTTTATACTTCATAGAAGTGATGCACCAACAGAAAAATATTGCCTTTCATTTTTGTACCTTGAAACCAAAGGCCTCTGCAGTGAGGTAACGACCCTTGTGGTTGATTAGCCCAAACTGCAGCTTCAAGGGACCGCTTCCATTTGCAGGCATCTTCACCTGTGAAGTTTTGGGACGGACAAACAGAAGAAGAACAGATGAAAAAAGTTAGCGATGCAGAGGAGAAACTGAGTTCAATAGGTCGGAGAAGCAAGAGTAAGAATAAGGAAAGAGTTGTGGTGAATGATAAAATGAAAAAGCTGTAAAAGCAGGAAATCAATTCATTAAGGTGTAGTACATAAAGCACTCCCCAAACCACAAATTCCTTACCCCCACCCATGGCTTCATTATACATTTTTCCAGCCACAGCCTCCTAATTTACTTACTGCGGTTTTGTGGCTTCCCCTCTGCAGTTCCTGCGGCTTTAATTCCAGCTCCCAGATTTAAGAGGCTCCTTTCGTCAGGCGCCCTCTTGTAATTCTTTTTTTTCCTCCTTCCTTTCTTGTGCTGGCTCTTGCTTTCTGTTGATCGTGTCTCCCCCAGCTCCCCTCCACCTCTGCTGCTGTTCTCCCTAATCAGGTTAGAGGCAGCAAAGACTTGAGTCAACCTTGATCTTTTTTCAGTCCAGTGTCAAGCCCTCTTTCTCTGTGGACTAATTTTGCTCTGGACTGCTTAGACTGGCTCCTGCAGCCTCCTCTTCCTCTCCTGTTGAGCAGCTTCACCCCTGTTCTTGCATGACTTGTTATTCACCCTGAAGGCTCAATCACCGGGATCCCCCCAGACTAGACTTCTCTGGGGTTTTGTGTTTGCCCCTCCTTCAGCTCTAGTCCCTATTGGATCAATCACATCAAATACCTCCACCCCCCACCCCCCTCCTCACCTCCCTCAAAGTCCAGGTTCCTGGTTTGTCAAATGCAAGTTTGATCAGCGAAGGAGAACATCCTCAGTGGCACTATAAAATGTTGTGGTTGTGCACTGAAGGAGTCCTTCGCTCTTTCTCAAAACATGAGCTGTCTGTCACAGCTGCTACAAAAGATGCTTTCCTTTGTAATCTTAAGCCTCTCTCTGGTTCTTGTTCCTCCCATCCGCTCCTTCTCCCTCGCTGCCTTTCCTCTATTCCGCCGTCTCTGTAATCCTGCCTTTCTCTTTCTCTGCACCTTATTCTGAGCTCTGCGTTTCACCTCTTTCTGACTGTCACATATAAATAGAAGTGCGTAGAAACAATGCTCACATATGCACACACAGCGCCGGGTAACCAGAGCACCCTGTGCCTTTGGGGTACTTTCCTGAGTGCGGCTCCTTTTACCTGCCTGTGCTGTGTTTGGTTACACACCTTCTCTGATTGCAAGCTCTCTAATGGGAACTGAGTCTGAGCGGCAGAGGGAGGCAGGCTCTACATCTAAATTTAGGAAGGAAGATGACAGATATCAAGGTAGAAAGATAATCAACATGTGGGGCTCTGCATGAATGTGTGTGTGTTTGTGTGTGTGTGGGTAATCAACCTTGCCAATCAGCCCATTATAAAGCCTCTTTGAGGAATAAACAGACGTGTCTTTTCCTGAATCCTTTTAATCCTCCACCCAATCACCCCAACCTGGCTAATCTACTGCAACTACCCCTCCCCACTCCCCAAACTGCACACGCACACAGCTTGTCAGCGGCTGCAAACATAGAGCCACTGACCCACAGCAACATACATGTCAACACCGCTGTCACAAAGTTCAGGAGGCTCTCAGGGGTCCGCAGTAAACACCACCCACCCCTTAGATCACACAAGAAAGGCATCACAAACTTGCAAACAGACTAGTGTCCACAACAACTTTATGGAAAACATGACTGAACATGTCTAGGTTAGGTTTACACAATTTTCTGGTGATGGAATTGTGTAAACCTAACCTAGTCAGTGACCTAAGACCTAGAATTAAGATTTAGGAGTGAGGTGTAAAGAAGAACCAGAAGTTCAAGATCAGTTTGGGTATTTCTAGTTATGTGCTTTTATTTTTTCTTTGGCGATGTTTAAACTTTTTTCTCCCTTGCTGCATCATTAGGGTTACACATCAGAACTACTTGGTTAGAGGGGCATGGTGGCGCAGAGATTAGATTCAAGGATTCAAGGTTCTTCATTGTCATTCACATCACATGTGGTACATGAGGTGGAACGAAACTATGTACACAGGGTCCCAGTTACATCCAACAAAAATACAAATTGTAAAGAAAAACAGTAATAAGATCTAAAACATGAACTAAGAAATACACTAAACTAAGAATACACTAAGCACTAATGGTACAAAACAGTGCGCCAAACAAAAGCAGCACGAACATGAGTCTGTGTGAGCAGATGAGGACGAGTGAACACAGCAGCATGAAATAAATCAGCAGCATGAGATCAGCAGCATGGATAGTCAGCAGCACATATCAACAACTAAGTGCATTACAGTGATTATCCTGGTTAGAGATTCATGAGTCTAACAAGCTCAGGGTAGAAGATGGTAATGGTTCCTGCTCCTCAACCTCTGAGGGGAACGGGGCCAAAAGTGTGTGTGCTGGGTGAGTGGGGTCCTTCATGATGCAGGTGTGTGTGTGCTGGGTGAGTGGGGTCCTTCATGATGCAGGTGGCCCTCTTCCTGCATCTGGAGGTGTAGATGTCTGTGATGGTGGGGAGGCTGACTCCAACAGACTTCTGTGCAGCCTTCACCACTCTCTGCAAAGCTTTTCTTTCTGCAGCTGTGCAGCCTCCATGCCACACGTTGATGCTGAAGCACATTAGAGAAGGTGTGCCTGTGATCAGAAGTCCTCCCCAGACTGAAAAGATAAAACTAAATGTGGGTGGAAATGGTAAAACACCCACATGCCTCCACCCTCGTTTGGGCCCTTGAGCAAGACCCTTAACCTTCACCATCTGCTCCCAAACAGGTCTCTCTTGAAAATGAGTCCTCATGACTTAGTGAGACAACCTATATAAATAAAGGGTAAATGAAAAAAAAAAGTTAAATAAAATAAAATAACAAAGACAGAGATTACACAGTAGTGTCACCAGAATGAGAAAAACACATCCAGTTTAAGACACACAGCTGCACAACTTTGCTTTTATACACTCTGATTGAAAACTTGTTCTAAATCCACCTCACTGGATTCATTTCAGGCTTAAAGGCCATGTCGTCATCACAGATTGTGAAATTATGGATTTAAGGCCGTTTTGGTCAAACCTCAAAAATAACATTATGCCGAATCTAATGGAATACTGCAACATCTTACGTGCTTGCATGGCGTCTTAGTGCTTAGCGTGCTACTTGTGAATGACTATCAACTACTACCATGCCAAATTTTAGCTCAACATCTGTAAAAATCACAGAGGTGTAGCCATTTTTGATTGGCTAAGGTTGATTAGCTGTGGCAGTCGTCTTCCATTGGATTGACTCCAAAAGTTACGAGTTCCACTCAAACATATGTGATGCTAAGCTACTACACCAAATCTGAGCTCAGCATGTTTAAAATTGGCTTAGATATCGCCATTCATGTGTTTCCTAAGTTAGCTGACTATGGCAGCCATCTTGAATTGACAGACTGAAAGCATTAATCTTTTATGGAAGTACATTCATTACATTCTTAAAGTTTTTATTGAGATCCAAAAAAATCCACTGGTTTACAAGATATATTGTCAACAGACAAACATAATTCACTCCGGTAGTTCAAAGCAAACATTTTAAACAAATATTTTGCGATCAATTAGTGCTTGAAGTATATGTTAGAGATGACTTTCATCTACTGGCATTCCGAATATTGGTTCAGTATCTGTACAATCGACTGAGTTATAGGTTTTTCTGTGTTTGCTAATATTGCTTAGCTGTGGACGCCATCTTGAATAGCACTGACTCCAGCAGGTAATCAGTTGTAGATGTGCATCCAATGACTACTTTCTGAGAGTTTTATTAATGCCAGTCCAGTGGTTTATGAGATATTTTGCCAACAGACAAAATAACACACACACACACACACACACACACACACACACACACACACACACACACACACACACACATATATATATATATATATATATATATATATATATATATATATATATATATATATATACAGGGAAAAAATGATCACCATTGGGACAAACACTAGAAGCAATCAGATCAATAATAGAACATTTTCTCTTGGATTGAGCTGATCTAAACTGATCCAACATGTTCTAGCGATCTAACCTACAGAGGGCATCCCTGTTCTGCGCACAGTCTGGCACATGTCTGGAATAACTAAATCTGCAGTTTCACACTTATTTTAACAACTATATATGAGAAAGAAAAGCAATAAAAAAATCTAATAGTTCTGAACTGCTTCTCTTTTTCCTCTGATCTCCTGTGAGGACAGAGGCTGCAGCAGGCATGTGTGTGCATGCATGAACCTCATTGACAACTCAGCATCCATCGCTTCAAAATAAAAGAATTAAAATGGAAATCAGAGCTTCGTATTTGCATCCTTGAATTTCTAATCAGAGATCCCACCCATGCCTGCATGGCTGATGTTTTTTACTCAAATCAAAACAGAAATCTTTGAACAGGCGTGCATCAGAAACAAAAGAAAGAGAGACCTAACAAATAATAAAGAAAGTCATAAACTGTTTTTTTTTTTTTTTTGGTTGTTGTTATCACTACTATTATTTTCATTACCAGATCTATTATCACTATTACTGTACTTCTTCCTCATACGAATCCTATCCCACGCATCATTAGCTCCCTCTCTGTGGCCCCCGGGGGCCACGTCATCGTCTGCTGATGTGCTGCTGCTCCTGCTGTCGGCACGGTGACGCCTGTCCATAGCCAGCCAGATGTTTTTCTTTTTCTTTTTTTTTTTTACCCCCTTCTTCTGGGACAGCGGCTGTGCCAGGTTCACCGTGGCAACCGGAGGATGGTGCTTTAGAAGCCATTACAGCGATCCTCTGATGACACTCAAATAGCTATCATTACACCTCCTCCAAAGAGACACAGAGGGAGGGGGAGGGGGAGGGAGAGGTGAGAAAAGAAGAATGGAGGGAGAGCAAGAGACGGAAGGAAAAAGAGGTGAAAGAGATAAAAAAAAAAAGGAAAAGGGGAGAATCTGCAAATTAC